GAGAGAGAAAAGGAAAAATCTTCCATCTGCTGGTTCACTCCCCAGGTGGCCTAATAGCTGGAGCTAATCTGATCTGGAGCCAGGAGCCAGGAGCTTCTTCAAGGTCTCTCACATGGGTGCAGGTGCAGGGGGCCAAGGTATTCAGTACTGAACTAATCAATTTAATAATATGCCTTTAAAAATTCTTATTCTTGTGGCTGGCACAATGGTGTAGCAAATTAATTCTCTGCTTCCACTTCCAATGCGCTCCCTGCTAATGTGCTTCAGAATGCAGCAAGGATGGCCAAGTTCTCAAATCCCTATCTCCTGGTGCCCTGGATCCTGCGGCCAGCTGAAGTGATGGTTTTGGCTCCTGGTCTGCCCGACTCAGCCCAGCTGTTGTGACCATTTGAGAAGTGAAGTGGTGCATGAAAGATCTCGCTGCCTCTTTCTTTCTGTAACTATGTGTTTCAATAAATCTTTTTAATATGGAAATAAGTAAGGTTATTTTGATCCAAAAATTTTGAAATCCATGCATACAAGAAGTTTTCAACAAGTTCATGGAAAATTAGTACTATGTGTGGATTTCATTTTTGCATCAAAATAAATTCATTTATTTGTTAACATTTCTTTTATTTTTAGTTGAAATGCAGCGAGAGAAAGATCTTCCATTCACTGGTTTACTCCCCAAAATGGCTTCAACAGCCAAAGCTGAGCTGATCTGAAGCTAGAAACCAGGAGCTTCCTCTAGGTTTTCCCCATGGGTACAGGTGGCCAAGGTCTTGGCCCATCCCTCCACTGCTTTCCTAGGTCACAAGCAGGGAGCTGGATGGTAAGTGCAGCCGCCGGAAGTTGAATCAGTACCCATTTAGGATGATGTGGTTTGAGTCCCAGCTCCACTTCCGACTCAGCTTCCTGCTACCACACAGCCTAGGAGGAGGGCCTTTCGGGAGTGAACCAGTGGGTGGGACATCTCTCTGTCTGCCGTTCAAATCAAATCAAAGTAATTTCATTTCTCCGTGAGCCTTTTCAAGTACCATGGCTGTGGTTGTTTTTCCACAGGTCACAAAAGCCGCATTCACCTTTATTTTTTATCTTTTCCCCCACTCTGTGTTTTATTTCAATCACTTCCTATTGCTGCTTCTTCAGTTTATTAATTATATCTTCTGCCATTGCAGTCTCTTGTTTATCTCATTTGGTGTAGTTTTCATTTCAGAAATTCTAGTTTTAATTGCTAGATATTTGTTTTGGATCTTTTAATATCCCTTCTAAACATTCTTATCTTCCTTATACTTTACACTGATTTTTCCTGCTTCTTTGCATGCATCATAATTTTTGATCAAATGCCAGATACTGTGAATTTTGTGTTGCCGTGTACTAGATTACTTAAAATCTTTGTAAATATGTTTGAACCCTACCCCAGGATGCAGTTATTTGGGTGTGAGCAGGAAGCCTGTGCTGAGAAGGCCTACTGTTCAGATCCCACAGGAAAGCTGGTGCAGCCGTAAATGTAGAGCTGGTGTGCTCCCTTGGGAAGGCCCTGTCTTGCGGAGGGCTCACCACTCCCCTGTCTTGCAGTTGCTTGATTCCTGCTGTCACACCTGAGCTGCTTGTCCTGGTTTGTGTAATCGCTGGGGTTTTTTTCTGCCTGTTGCTTTCTGGTTGTTCTTCAGCTCATCTTGGAGGGTTTCCTCGCACACATGTGACAGTCAGCTCTCAGCTGCAGGTTCCTTAGGAACCCTTGTCCTATCTCCTGGGCGTGCTCTCTCCCTCTGCTTCTGTGCGCGCTGGTACTCATTCTGTGACTTCAGGTCCCCTAGGCCTCCTAAATTTCTGAACTCTGAGTCTTGGGCTAAGGGAGATGGCTATGTGTGTGAGGTTCAGTTCTGGTCCCTGCTCTGCAGCTTGGGGCAATTGTTAAGGCTTTCCTTGTTGGTTTCCTTTCTGTCAGGGATTACCCAACTGAACTGCCTTCTATCCAGTGTCTGAAAAACCATTGTTTTACATATTTTGCTCAGTTTTTTAGTTATGTGAAACACAAGAGTGTCAAATTTGACCCAAGACTCTGTCATATCCTGAAGCACAAATACTTTAAAATGTGTTTTTAATTAGTCTCTGCCCAAATAATTTCTTTAGAACAATAATTTTTCTTTATTGTTTTATTTTCAAGTATTAATGGAGTTTTTAGAAGAACATTTGTGAGACCATAGTTGTGGCATTGTGCGTTATGCTACCACCTGCAGTGCTGGCATCCCATATGGGTATAGGTTTGAGTCCTGGTGGTTCTCACTTCCAGTCCAATTCCTTGCTGATCTGACTGAGAAAGCAGCAGAAGATGGCCTAAATTCTTGGGTCCTTGTGCCCACATGGGATACTCAGGTGGATTACAGGCTCCTGGCTTCTGCCTACCCAGACATGGCTTTTGTGTCCATTTGAGGAGTAAATCAGTATATAGAAGATTCTCTCCCTCTTTTTCTCTCTCTCTAACTCTGCCTTCCAAGTAAATAAATAAATAAAACTCACTTTAAAAAGAGTATTTGCTTACTAAAACATTTAAAAATAACTCCTGCTGTGGTCACAGGACATAGTTTGTACTGTTTCTCCCTTTGAGATAATAAATAGATCTATGACTTGATAAGGTCACATTTTATGACTTCTTGGTGGGCATGTTGCAAAGTGGTGTTTAGTGAGAATCAAGTATATGTATACTTATATGTTGTCAGGATTGTCAGTTACATATTTTAAGTTCATTCTGTGCCTTTGAATTCAAGGTAGGTTGATATAAAGTTTCTCCATTTAATGTTTAAATTATATTCAGAACGAATGGCAGTCCAGACAGATCCCTCCCAGCAGCTGGATCATGATCCAGATGCCCATAGCAGCCAGGGCAGGCCAGGCTGAGCTCAGGAGCTGAGAGCTCAATCAGGCTCCCAATTCTAAGTCACATTAGAAACAAATGGTTAATCTTATGATTAGTCTAAGAACTAATTTAACAGATTCTGAAATTCTTCAATTTTACTGGAACCTTTTGAAAGCAATCCAGGATGAAAAGCACTAATACTCCTTGGTGACCTGGCATAAATTCTACTTAACATTTCAAAATAGAAAATAAAACTCCACAAAAATTTTTTGAAATTGCTGATTGAAAAACTCATTAGCAGATTGAGCTGTAGTTGTTGTTGATGCTTATTTCTGAGGTGTTAACAAATAAGCCAAATTACCATATTGTATATTTAAATTTTAAAAGCACATTTTAAATGAATCAAATTTTAAAATCTATGAGGTTCAATCTTGTGGCCAGCAGGTCTGGCTATACCCTGTGGTTGCTGCTTGTTGTCCTGGGTGCTCCTCTTCTGATTCAGCTCCCTGCTGATGACCTGGGAAAGCAGGAGAGGATGGCCCAAGTGCTGGGATACCTACGCCTACATGGGAGTCCCTGGCCCTGTCGGCCTTTGTGGCCATCTTGAGGTTGAACCAGCAGGTGGAAGATCTCTCTTTCTCCTTGTCTCTCCCTTTCTCTCCGTAGCTCTGACATTTAAATAAATAAATCTTAAAGAAAACTGTATTTTAAGGTATTATTTTCTTGTTTTTCTTAAGGTATATAAACAAACACTTATTACTTTTGCATTTGAAAACTAGTGTGCTTAGAGATCTTTTATATTCCCATGTTACTTATTATGTGAGGTAACAACTCTGTCAGCTCTGTCTTCTGATCTATCAGTACAAGAGCCCAGGACTTGGCTGGAAACAGCTAATAGGACCTGGAGACTTTATAAACTGTTGGGCCAAAGAACTGAAAGAGAACTCCAAAGCAGACTTGAGTGGCATTCCTTTGTGGCCAGCATGCATTACGAGTGGGTACCTGCCCTCCTAATGCTGTAGAATCCCGTGTAGTTCATCTAAGCCATAAGTGATCATCTGATTCTGGCTTCCAGTTTATTCCTCATTCCCGGACCTTTCAGAGATCCACAGTTTCAAGATATTTTACTCTATTTGTATAGTAATTTTTCAAAATATTTATTGTAGCTTCCAGCCTTTGTAATTCTCATTGGAGTACTATTAGGCATCCTGTCGAGTAATGCTTAGAAGTGAAACACTATTTCTCCATAAAGGCACTATGTCTGATTTGCACATAAATGGTTAAGTTGTTCTAAGTAATATTTTTAAGAAATATTTTTTATGCTGCAGTTCCATAGGCTCCGGGGTTTCCCGTCTCCCTCCCCAAGTCCCTTTCTCTACTGATTTCTCTTTTAATATCAAATGGGTAGTCCTTCATGAACAGTTCATCGCTTCCAACATTGTAGGCATGGACAATATCAGAGAGCCCAGCTTTCTCATTATTGTTTTAGGTGTCAACATTTTTCAGTTCTTTCTTTTTTATAGCTATAAATGTTAGTTTGAGTTTTAAAATATATAATTAAAAATACATTACAATCCCATCAGGCTGTGCTTTAAAAGGACAAAAACTCTCAAATCTTGCATTTTAAATCTCAAGATGAGCATCATAATCATTGTGCATTAATTTGCTCCTCTTTCTTGCTATGACTGGAAATAGCATCCTCCCTGGGGATAACTATCATTACTATCAACATGTCTTTTTAAATACAATGGTCAGGATAGTTTAATCAGTTGACAAATCCCCAGGCATGAACAAGTTTATGAAAAAGTAAGGAGGAGGAAAAACTGTGTTAATCCCTAGACTTTGTTTTTTTCTGTTGGCCCAAGAATTAATTTTGCTTCAGCCTAATTACTTTACATGCATTCTTGTGACATTACACAATCGGAGAGGGAGAAAAAGGAGCCGTGACTGTGTGGTGTGTATCTAAAAGTGCGTTGGAGAGGGAGAGGACACATAAGCAAGCTGGTTTGACCAGAAACAGAACTGCCTGTGACAGATTAAGAGACAAGCAAGGCTTGGAATCTGAGAGCAAGCAGAGTGGAAATTTACAGCTGTTCCATGTGAGTGTTCAAGTGATCATTTTCTGCTAACCTTTTCCGGTGGTAACTGTGACTCTTCAAAGAGGGACAGAAAGTCAAGACGGAATTGTGGAAACTTCTCGGTCACATTTTGGTAATAGGAGGCAACCTCTGTTAAATGGAAGATAAAGGATCCTCCGTGTAAAGTGCTTTACGCTCCAGCAAGAGCTGTCTTCAGCACCTCACCATGTATCTACTTTTTGTTGCTTAGACAAGCCTGGGTGTTTCTCTAGTGCTGGGTGAGTATCAGCAGGGTTATCTCTATTAGTTCCTAGAAATGGGATTAACAGGGCAAACTTTAAGCTGGGCTACTCCTGTGGTTAGGGCTTGTAAACTCATTTTTAAAATCTCGCTGTTGTTTATCTGTGCATGATGAACTGCTGTTACTAGGAGAGGTTTTAAAACAACATCTACAAAACAATACTTCTCTGTTGCCTAAGGCTCTTGAACCATTACCAACTGTGTCCATGGAATATCTTATTTTGGGTATGACATTTTATTTACAAAGAATTTCAAAACTAAAATAGTGTCCAAATTAGTATACCATTTTTGTGTTTTTATTTAAGCTGTGTAAAAATTCAAAATTATCACTTTATGCCTGTTGTCAATAAATTTAAAATTACCTTTAAGATCTTTGATATTACAAATTCTAGCATTCCCTCCTAGTTAAAAATTGTTGGTGGGTATATATTTTAAATGTTAAATGCTTCTATTAGGACAAATGACAGCTGTTTTTTTCCTAAGTTTTTAAATGAAAATAAAAATCAGATAATTTTATGATTTCATATAAAATGAATGCACATGAATTTCTAAGTTGAGATATAACACAGTTACAAAAATGTCATACAGTCTTATTTTGTTGGAGAACTATTATAATCAGGTGTGTATGTGTGTGTATCTAAGTAATAGAGCAAAGAAAGGAAAAAAAATATCTAGTGACACTGCAATAAAACCTTCATTTGGATAATCTCAAAATAGGGGAATATGTGCTAATTATATATCTATACATACTTTTTTTTAAACACAAGGGTGGCAAGCATATAATCATTCTTCTGTTCGAGGAAGGAAATGTGAGTGAACTGCCAACTGCTAAACTGAGTCACTGAATAACGATGTACCTTTCTGAGCCAAGTTTCTAACCTATTCTCTGTGAGCCTTGAACATTATGTATCTCCATAATCATTGCTTCTGGTTAGTTCCTCAAGGCAAACTGCTTAGCTGAAGGGAAACCGTGTGCAGATATCAGCCGACACATTGCAGACGGTTTGTTCCCCAATATCCAATGTAAAATGGCTGTACTTTCTCTAATTAATTTCCTGTCTGTGTATAGAAGCCTGTTGAGCAGGTTTTGTTTTGTGGTTTTTCTTTTTTAGCCCGTTGACCTGTGTGTAAAAAGTAACTCAGCTGCTCTGTAGAAATCTCTTCTGGACCAATATCTTGCACTTAAAATCAAAAGTAAACATAGCAGGGATGATTTCACAAGCCACCTTTTCCTTCAGAGAATTTCCCACAGTCATTCCTTGTTAGACTGATGGGCAGTTTGCATAGTCCTTCACAGTGTTCAGAATAATTTTTTTATTTTAAACTAGTCATTCAGTGGTATTACCCTAGTGACAGCACTGTGTCTTAAGCCCAAGGAATGTAAATACAGACATAAAGAATAAGTAAGTCATCCCCAGTTTACAAATAGTTTGTATTTCAGAAGTTTATTTGTGAACAAGTTGCTACAGATTTGGAACCCATCTTCCTTGGGAAACAGCCTAGCAGTTTGAAAGCTATTGGGCTTTTATTATAGCCAAGAATGTATTTTATTCACACACTGAATAAAATAGAAAATCAGACAGATGGTAGAAAATCAGTTCTAGTGATGAAAGAAGATAGAAAGTATATGTGTTAACTAAGAGATTATTTTTATTTATCCTAAATATTAACGCTGGAGGAAAGAAAGTTTAAAAAGAGATAAATGATTTTTAGGGAGGATGCTTATAAATATGATTTTTACATACTTTCATGAGCGTCCAAATTTATATGCATTGTTTATGAGAGCGAATCTGAAGTTGGAATCCATGATTTCTCTTTTCCTCAATACTGGGATATTACTGGTTGTTCTTAGGTTTATCCATCATTTCTGCAGCCTATCATAGTATGGCACATAGTAGGCAGCTGATAGTAATTATCACCAAACTTGATACTTTGGTTCAGAAGATAGAAACAGTCATTTTTCTCACAGTATCCATAAAGGTAGAGGGATTTAGAGCATACCTTTGTCATTAGATGGCTTGATAAGACTTGATTGAATTGTTAACAGTGAACCAAGCAAAAGTAGGGCAGAATAGGCCTAACTCTTCTGGGAAGAGACCAGGACAGAGTGTAATTTGGCAGTGGTGTTGGGTGGGTAGAGCTGTGAAAAAGGGGTTGGTTGACAAGCTAGGTGTCTTGAGTACGTGGCACATTCTGAAGTCAGGTGTCAACTTTAACTCTTGTTTCATATGCTTACCAGGACCCAAATAAAGACCTGTAGCCTCTTTGAAAAACTAAGATTAGATGTCTCCCAGTTAATGCGGTTATACTGGCTCTGAGAATTTCTCTAGGATGTCAGTACATAAAATCTAAAAATTAGTAATAAATAAATTCATGTAATAAATAGTAAAATAGATACAGGTTACACTTACCTCAGATTGCTTTTACTGGAAGGAAAAAAAAACCTCCAATTGATTATAACTCATTATTCAATTTCAAATTACATAGAAAGAATAATGACTTTGAGTAATCCTAAATGACATACAATAAACTCTTAGTAAATATTTGCTGAGTCAATTAAAAAGATTTGGACAGTTTTCCAGTGGTACTTGTGCATGGGCGTATGTATTTACATAATGTGGCTTAAGAAAACATTTAGCTATTTCCTTAACAAAGGCAAATCTACTAAAATTATACTAGCAAATCTGTTATGATTATGTTTAGTATTCTGTTGGTAATGGAAATAATTAGTTTAAACTGAAATCCTTAGTACTTCTAAATGAGATGATATACATTCTGGTTTTGTGACTTATATGTCATACTGCAGAAGCTTTCTAGTTAGTCTCTTCCAACTCTGGAAGGATGAAAGATTATATTAAATTTCCGAACTTAAAAAATCTTGGAACCAACTCTCTATGTCCATAGAATAAAAGAAAATTTCAGCTAAATCACTTTCATTTCATGGGCTTATGTTTCATAGCTGGCCCAGGGGCTTACTGAAACTGTTCAATGTTAATGGCAATCTATAAACCTTGTCGTAATGCCAGTGACAGTATCTAACCAAGATTTGATGCTATATGTAATGTGTGCTTCTAGAAAAGAAGAAAAACAATGAATTGGGAGTTTCCCTTGATAATTCTGCTGTCAAAAATAACCATTGTGAATTTCACTGAGATATGATGCTTTGATTCTAGTTCCTAGTTTTTGGGAGATACTCACCTAGCCTCAGAGCTCTGCTATAATCAAGACTGGGAAATTCTAATATAAAGTTAGAATTGACAACCAGTACTAGCTAATCAGTGTAGAAAATTTTAACTACCACAAATGACTGGAACTCTCCACAGAAACACTGCCAGGAACCAAATGAGTGAAGTTACTAGCCTATTTTAGAACAGCCAGGATCTAGTAGAGTCCTTATCACAATAAATATATCAGTAACTTTATAACTTCCTAACTTTGTATGGTAATTATATCGTACAATTTATTTCAGTTTCACAGGAGATTATAATTAACAAATAATTATTAAGGGACATACCTTCCTAACTTTGGCTTATAAAGGTGGTTGTTTTTGTTTGTTTTTTCTAGATATAAATCTATCCAGGCTTTCAGGGGAGCAAGGTAAAGCTTCTTAGAAATTTTGGCTTCTGTGTCAGTTGTAAATTTTTAGAAAATGTCTCTCCCTAGGGCTCCATTAGTGAAATAACTTATGAAAGCAAGGCCCTTCTTACTTATTTTTAGCTGAGAAAAGGATTGGTGAGAATCATTATTCATGCTTTATCATCTGTTGATTTTCACTTATTTCTGTAGGTTTAAAAATGCCAAGTTCAGCCTTTGTGGCTTCTAGTTGCATTTAGGACCATAATTAAAAAGGAAAATTTGAAGGGTAGAGAGTACTGATTGAAATATACTTTGACATCTGTAACATGCTTTATAGTGGACTTGGTATTGTGATATATTATAATAATGTTGTGCTTTTATACGTTATTATCTCTGTGAATGCAGTCCTAAAAGTAAGAAGTTTTTTAGGAAGAGGAGGGAGACTTCTTGGGTATATCAAATACTAAACAACTGTCAAGTGTACTTTGTAAATTTATAATTTGCATGTAAATGAACTCCTTTTAAGAAAATAATTAGCATTGACAGTGCATGTGGCTGGGTAACCTTCATCTCACTGAATTAAGTGAATCCTACATGCTCTGTTACTTGCTGTAGATACACTTTGGATTGCATATATTGCTGATGAATAGAGATTTCCAAAATTATAAAACATGAACCTTTATGACATGTTTAAGATTTATGGCAGTAAGGTTTAACTTTTTGGTTTGAGACGAGGTGCTGTGCCTTAAGTTTAAATTCAAAAGCTCTGAGAACATAGGAGATAAATCTCTCTCACTGTTGATTATAAAATAAACTTACATGAAAGACGAGGTTTGCTTTTGAGCTTTCTTATAGTGGATTAGCAGTTTTGTTCCATGGGTACTGTTTATAGTTTTGCTTGTGGAAATCTTGACTTTTTTTTTTCTTTTCTTTTTTCTTCATTTTCTTCAGAAATAAATTTCCCACTCTTAAATTTTCTTGCAAAACCTTTAAAGTAGAACTGTCAGTGAACAGACAGCTGGAGGTTAGATGTAAAGGCCTGTACATCAGCCACCCACAGATATTTATTCCCCTTGAAGTATTCCAGTGGGATAACAGCCAGGGTACTCCATGCCTAGAATGTTCTCTCAGTGTTCCTCCTTCTCCCTGCCCTCACTCCTCTCCTCTTCAGTCATTGGACGTAGTCACATGACTCCTTTGAGTGACTGACTTTGGGCCACCTTCAGTGGTGCTCACCCATGAGTGAGGAAAATGAAGTTTTACTGACAGTGCCAAAACAGACTACAGAATCCTCAGGGCTTCAGTTTCCTGGGAGCAGTTGAGCCATCTTTTTTGGCTTGCTCTCCCAAGTCTGAGCCAAGTACTACGTTTTACGAAAATTCATAGCCAAAGAAATCATATT